TGATTAAGTGAACTACTGTACACTCACTCGCTCTCTTGACATGGGCAAGTCCATTAAAAACTGAAAGCACCAATTAAGAGCTGTTTATTCCTGTTTACATTTGGGTTCCGGGGGATAATTGGCTTCTGTGGGAGAAGAGGTCGGTGAGGACCCCTCTAATTGCCTAAATGCACTCTCCATACTCCTTGATCGGTGTTGGGGGGCTGCCGGCCGCCAGCCTGCTCGGGCTCACCTGCCCCCCTCCACTGTGTTTGTTGGTGAGCTTGACTTTGCTGAAGGAGACCGGCGCCTTCATCCAGTGGGCCCCGAAGTTGGGCGAGTCCGGGTGGATGTAGACGCAGCTGTGGCCGGGGGCCTCTGGCTTGCCCGCGGGCACCCACTCCCCGTTGACATACTTCCAGCGGTGGCTGTCCGTCGGGACAAAGTCCAGCAGGAGGGAGTACATGGCGTTGGGGTCCAGCCCGGTGACGCTGATCTTTAGAACGGGGAACATCCGTCTAAAAGCAGAGGCAGAAAGCAGGTGAGGGCCGCCCGCCCACAGAGCGCCTCGGGGTGGGGGGTGCAGACCGTGCCCGGGGTGAGGGGCTGGGCCAGCGCCCACCCCCCACCCCCCACCCCGCTCCAGGGTGTGTTTTCACAAACGCACTGAACACAGGGTCTTACTTTACTCTGTCGCACTCCCTTCTAAAGTCTGAAAACCACCGACCCGGTCACAAGCACCTGAAGCCCCAGTGCACAACCAGAGGCCAGGTTTGTCCAGGATTTGACAGATACTGGACTGGCACACCGAGGCCACCAAGCAGCCCATCCCGGGACGCCGAGGCCACCAAGCAGCCCATCCTGGGCTCACAGAGGACACTTGCTCTGAGTAACAGTAACGGCACAGAAAGCGCAAACGTGGTTTCGCGGTGAAATCGGTGACGGGGACTCAGCTTCACCTTAGACCAGCTCCCCTCCCGCAGGACTTCTCAGAGCCTTTACTGCATCGCGCCAGAGATCCGGGGTTGTGCACACTCTGAGCTGAAGGGCAGGGGGCCTGTCTTTTCACGGAGCATTCCGAGGGAGTTTGCGCTCGAGGAACACACTTTGAGAGCCGCTCGTCTGAATTCACCCGTCCGTCTCCCACCTTCTAGAACAACGCCGGCAGAGATGTGGAGGCCGCCTCTCCTGGCTGCCAGTTCCCTCTGGTTTACTCCTTCTCCAACCTTCTAAGTTGCTCCACTCTTCCCTCAGAGGACCTGGTTTCCAGGTCCACACCCCCGGCCCCGCCCCGCCCCCATCCCCATGCTGCCCTGTGTGTCAGCACCGCGCATTAAAATCCGAATCCCCACATCAGGAAGCTGTTAACAACCCGGAGTCCGGACACTCGCAACTCAAAGCAGCCATCGACCAGCAGCCTCAGGATCAGCTGCAAGTTTATAGAGATGCAGAACCTCAGCCCGCGAGCCAGACCTACTCCATCAGAGTCTGGGCTTTCTCAGAATCCCCGGGTGAGTCACAGGACACGAAGCTTCAGATGTACCAGTCTCGAGTAGCCCTAGCTTTTAAGAAAATAACTAAGGAGAGGTATGCGAGGGAGCTGGGCCGGGGCGGTCGCTCTAGGACGTGTGCGTCCGATGAGCTGGGAAGGATGGAATGGCCCCCCTGCTAAGGAGGCCAGGGACGGCAGCGTCAAAGCAGGAGTGGGCACGGCTGCGGGTCGCCAGGGCCCCTGAGGACGTGCTGCTGGGTGCGGAGGTGCACAGCTTTGAGACAAGCTGGAATGGGCATTGTTACATGTGGAAGAGGAAGGAGCTGACCGACAGACGGCCAGGGGCGGATCTAGACGTGGACTCGAGCCACCCAGGCGTCCGGTCTCCCGAGTGTAAGTTCCACGGGCTTCCGGGGCGGTTCGGACGTCAGCAGGATTGTTTTCCCCGAGGCTCACCCCACCTCGTCGACATTTCCTTTCCCACTCCCTCTCCAGCGTAGTGGGGTTGTTTCTGCCCCCCCCCCCTTTTCTAAACGCCCTGCCTTAGAGACTTCTCGTCCCCGCACGGCAGCCTCGATGTCATCGTCCCACCCACCCAGCCTCCTGAGGTCACTGCGAGAATTCACGGGACACGCTTATTCGAATTCCTGCCGCCTGTAACGAGCCGCACGACGAGGTGGCCGCGTCCTCGGCACTTCCAAGCCCCGCCCCTGGCCCGGCTCCGCTCCTGCCCTAGGCCCGTACCTTGGGCAGTGACTTTGGATGTGGGCAACACAGAGGACATGGGCTCTGCCCCCCTCCCGCCCCGCGGGCAGGACCCGCCTCCCTCTGCTTTTCTCTCCGGGGATGAGACTCCGAGGCGGAAGACGAGTGCCTGCTGAGGCTCCGGGTTCCTTTTGGGGGCGGTGAGAACGTTCTCGAACTATAGCCGTGATAATGGCACAATTTTATGAATATTCCAAAAACTATTGAACTGTACACTTACAAAGAGTGAATCTGATGGTATATGATTATTGCACAAGAAAACAGTAAATTAATCTTTTATGCTACTTCCGTTTTGATTCTCCAGCTGAATCACAATCATCTGCACAGAGGCCCTCGGCTTTGGCGTTACCTGTGGGAAAGGGCTGCCCCCGACAGCTTCGTCCTCCCCCTCGCACCCCAGCAGCCCGTCTCTCCGTCCCCTTGTGCTGGTGGCCTCAAGGAGACGCTGACTGCAGTTGCTATGGAAACAACGCTTCAGAGGACGCATCCCAAATCCAGGTCTTACCTGACTATCACGTCCCTCGCTCCGCCACTCCCCCCACGGAATGACAGGACTTACACTTCCATGCAAACGAGAATGATGATTTCCCCCTAGGGAGGCTGCCCGTGTCATCTCAATGCCTCCAACGGCACATTCTTATGTTCTTTCTTCAATAGAAGGATTTTTATCTATTTTTTAAATCAGACTAAACTCCCTTTAGTGATATCTTGATGTCATTTCACGCATTAAAGAAGACAGAAAGTTTCCTCAGTAAGGATACGTAGCACAGGTAAAGGTAAGAAAAGGCAGCTCCCATCACACACCTGTGCCACACTCCACGGCCAGGGCCACGACACGGCATCACGCATGATGGCACAGCTGTAATCTCCGGGGCGGGAGGGGTGAGAAGCTTCATGCAGTTCTGACGTAAGGTCTGAGAGATGATCTAAACCAGCACAGTGTTTCAAATGGCAAAAGCTAACGGAAACTGAATTTCACTCTGCACTTCGGACTCAGTGTATGTCTGCCTCATCGACGCCTCGCTTTGCCCCCAAGGAGGCAGATGCTATTATGCCCGTTTCATAGACGGGGTGACTGACTGGGGATCCTTTTCCTCTGCCTTTTTTTTTTCCTCTCTCTGTCCTTTTTGATTCTTCTAGAAAATAAATATGGGCGTACCACGATGGAAGGGCAAGGCCCCTCGATGCTTTCCTCAATCTTAATGCCTTATGAGAGGATTATTTACTCCTTTAACAAGTGACTTTTGAGAGGCTGCTCTACGCCGGGAACTGCTCCGGGTGCGGATTCGAGGCAGAAAATGCAGCCTTGGCGTCTCATCCGCGAAGCCAACGCTGTGACGGAGAAGTCGGCCAGCAAAAACGTACACAGCATTTTTTTTTTTACTGTGTAATTTTAGGGTGCAGATGTGCCATGAAGGAACTAAAATGGGTGTGTCGCATAGGGGGATTAAGGAGTAAGGAGCTACTCCAGAGGGACCTTGGTAGGTCCAGGATGACATTAAAGCCAAGACCTAACTAACGTGAAGAAATGGGTCATGCAGAGGCCCGAAAGGAGCGACGTAAACACGCCTACACGCCAAGGGGACAGCAAGGACAGTGGCCCCAGGGCACGACCTCCGACTCCGCTGGTCAGAGCTCGGCCACGGGAAACCGCGATGACGCAGAGTCTCGATGTATGAGCCGGCAGGGACACGCAAGGCCACCCCGAGGTGAGACGGCGCTTCACACTCACCGCGACGGCCGTGCCAAAGCGGGTGGACGGTGACGCGCGCCGGGGAGGACGTGGGGACACCGGACGGTGACGCCGGGGAGGACGTGGGGACCCCGGAACCCGCACACGCCGCTGTGGGAAGGGAAAAGGGCCGACCGCTCTGGGAAACAGCTGGCAGTTCTCCCGCCAGTGACATGCAGTTACCCTGCGACCCAGCGACTCCATTCCCGGGTCCGTATGCAAGAGAAAAGACAGCGCGAAACTCAAACTCAAAAACACAAACGGTCGTGGCGGCATGTTCTCCTAGCGGCCAAAACGTGGAAACGCGCGAACCCATCAGCCGGTGAATGGACACGCGCGTGTGGTGTATGTTCATGCGGCGAAACGTTATCTGGCCATAAAAATGTTACGGCGTGGGTGAACTGTGAAGACGTGATGCTAAATAAAAAAAAAGCCAGTCACAAAGGACCACATGTTGGATGATCCCATTTGTACAAAATGTCTAAAGTAGGCAAATCTACACAGAGAGGTGGAAAGTAGATTAGGGGTTGCCAGGGTTGGTGGGATGGGGGACTCGGGGGCGATGAAAATGTTCTACAATCATTTGTTCTGGCATCGCTTCTGTGACTATGCCAAAAACCATGATATCGTACACTTCAAACAGGTGAACTGTATGGTACATGAATTATCATGATAAAGCTACTAATCAAAAAAGCAGAGGCCCCCGTGTCCTGGCCCGCAGGGCGCACCTGAAGAGTTGTGGAATAGCTCGCTGCTTTATTCTCCTTGGTACTTCGTTTGCCAAGAATTTCATAGCTGTTTTTATCACCGTACGAATGAACTGAGATGCTACATGCTTTCAATCTCCATTAGGCCAACGAGGAATTCATAGAAGTCAAAGGCCCGTAACGGGGGCTGTTGCCCACCCTGCCACACCCAGCTCCCCCGCCTCTCACCGGCCAGGATGCTCTGTGTGTGTGTGTACCTGGCGGCAGCACTCACCACCCAGGCCGACTCCAGGGATGAGCCGCACTTCCAATTGGGTCGACTCTCCCCCTTTCCCTTCCAAGGCGTGACTAACCACAGAGGCACCCCAATGTCCTTGAGGGGCTGAGAAAGATGTAGATCAGTCCCCACCTCAGAAAGAGGAAGATGGAGAGGATGATGGAGGGAACCAGAGAGGGGGCGGGGCATCGTGGCAGGTGAACAGGCGCCGCCCAGACCATTCGAGGTGGCTGGGTTTTGCCCGTGAACTCTGTGTTGCTTTGCTAGGAGGCTGGTTTTCCAGATTTCATTTCCCTGACATGGGACCTTGAGCCGGCAGGGCTGAAGGAGGCCGTGAGGAGTGAGGTTTGCAGAAAGGAAAGGCGAGGAGATAAGGCAGATGTCGTAGGTGAGGACACCGCGGAGACGGTTAAAGGCAAAATTCAGTACGTGTCCCTCGCGAACAGCTGCCTCCACCTCCCCGCACAGCTGTAACATTCACGAAATACTCATCAGAGCTTCGGGAGTGTGTGTGTGTGTGTGTGTGTGTGCTGGAGGCAGGTCACGCGAAGGCACGTGGTCCTCACACAGGGCAACTATGACTTCGGAGGAGAATGTCCGTGGGCTACCTGGACGTGGACATTCACGTGCCCAAAGTGTGACCTGGATTTTCTCCCCTCTTGCACTGGGCTCACTGGAGACTGAATGTCAGCTCACCGCACCAACACCTTTGATTGCTGCCAAATTCACCTGTGATCCCCATGCATCTCTCACGTGATAACAAACAGGTGTACCTGCTCAAGGCGAATTTAATAGAAATGAAGTCAAAATTACTTCACTGCATGGAAATACACCCGAAATAGAGCATTTTCCCTGAAGATGAGGATGTTGCCGTCGTGAAAACAAAAAGTACAAGAGATTTCATTTATTTGCCTTTGAAGCCTCAAATGATTTGTGTGTGTGTGTGTGTGTGTGTGTGTGTGTGTGTGTGCGCGCGCACGCGCAACCTAAAAGAGAAGTTCCTAGGATGGAGAGAAAAGGAAATACTTTTTGAGAGCTGGATGCACTAGAGGTGATTCAGATGAGTTCTCCAGAGATATTCTGATTGTCACTGTTACATCTGAAAGACGACTGAATATGGGAAACTAAGCTTTAAACGGCAACAAAGAAAGAAGGAGGAAGACAGGAGGGAGGAGGGGGAAAGGGTGCGGCAAACCGGGGAAAGAGAGAAGAGGGAGGGCGGAGCGAACCCCCGATTCCCGGTCGCGGGGTCCGTCAGTGTCTTCCCGGAAAATCCTCTTCACCACTTCTGATCCGCGTCGGAGGCGAGCCTCCTGTTCTCACAAACAGCTCTCCGTTCGAAAACGGGTCTTTCATTCTTTCATCTGCCCGTCCTGAGCTACTTCAAAACTTGCCACAACGCAGAACGAGACCCCACGTGCACAGCTGATGACCGCGGCTTTTAGGAAAGTCAGCGGACCGTCCACAGGGCGGGCAGGCGGCCAGGTGAATGACAGGGCGGGGCTGGGGGTGCGACCCCAGGAGTGCCATTCTCCACGGGTCAGGCCACACGTCCACCTGCCTCAGGCCCAGGGGGACAGGGACGGGGTGGAAGGGGAGACACAGCGGGTCTGCACTCGGTAAAGGGGGTGGAAGGGGGACAGTGGAGAAAGGAGAGGTGTCTCCACCAAGACCGGTGAGGTGCTGCGGTTTGATCTGTGACAGAGACCGAGTCACCGCAGGCCACACTCACTCGTCACCAACCCGTCCGTCTCTTAGAGTCTTGTCTGCCTGCGTTATCTGACGTATAAAGGGAGCTTTCTATCTTCCGGCAAAATAAACCTGGACCCCAAAGGGCTCAGAGACCTTTACAAGAATCTAGAAGAGATTTGGTTCACAGTAGCAGAACCTCCACAGATAATAAAGAAACCAAGTTGAGTACATCAGACTTCCACAAAGAATAGTTTTCGCATACTTAATATTAAACGCCCATAAACATGAAAGAATTTTAAATGAGGAAAACTTACACGAGTTAAAAAAAGGCAAGAGAGTCTATGTCAATGTGACATACGATTAAATTGAATTTTATCATGGTTCCAGAATGAACTATATTTTTACTTGGTGACTGTCCTTATTTTACGTTCATATATAGCCACCTTGACAGCCAAACAGTACGGGGCTAAGTCTTAGTGTACCTACTACCCAGTAAGTACAAAGAATAATAAGCAAGAATTTCCCCCTGTTATCAGACCCCATAAAATGTTCACAGTTAATGTTTCCATCTTCGAAAGGAAACAATCCATTCGGGAAGGTGGGGCGGTTCTTCGAAATTAAAAACATGTTTGACACCAAAAACCTGTGATGGATACATCTGATGAAGAGGAGCAACGGGCGTAACTACAGTCACAGATATTAAAAGAAATAAATTCTATATGTGAAATCAGAAGGGGCCCCATGTGAGAGAGAAATATAAAGATCAAGCGAGGCTGGCTTCCCCGCGGCCGGTAACGATCGCGGTGAACCGAAATGCCCTCGTTTCTGGTACACCTGTCACTTGCAAAGCACTTGAATGTCGTGTAACTGCCCTCGAGTTCGTAATGCTCCCAGAGAGGCGAGGAATGGCTCGTTTGCTTCCAAAACGGGACAGTGAGACATCGGGAACAGAAGCCTTCTGCACACGGACAAAAGCCTGCCCGAAGTCCAGCCGGCCCCGACCTTCCTCTCCCGGAGAACAGACCCTCTCCATCCAGGGCGCTCACTCCTGCAAACCCGGCCCTCCTGAAAACGCCTGTCACTGCTCTGCCCCTTCGCGGCCAGGCGGCCGGATGCCCAGTGGGCACCGGCTGGACGTCGGGAGCCCGTCCGGCCAAGCGGGAAGCCGCAAAATTACCTTTCCAAACACTTGTGTCTCCTCTACAAAGTGAAAGCTTCTAATGTTACCTTGACGGCCCCTTAGCGGACTGGATTTAATAGAATCCAAGAAATGCCAACGAAGATCAAGTTCAGTTAACCCCTGATTTGCTGCAGTGGGGGAAAAAAAAGGCGTCTCCCCCCGCGCCCAGGCAGTATGCCACGGTCTCGGCAGCCACGACTCCCCAGCACCGCACACACACGCACCGCACACGCACGCACCGCACACGCACACACCGCGCATGCATGCACCGCACACACACGCCCGGAGCAGACCGGTGGCAGAGGCAACGATTCGATTTGCCCTTTCGTCCCCAGTCTTCGAATGGTGAGAGATTTCTGGCAAGTTTGCTACGCTGGAGGAAAAACGCACCCGGCTTCCAGATAAACTTGCCTTCCACCTCATGTGAACAGAGCTGGGGCTCGGGGTGCTCTGAGGCACGCCGTCCTCCAGAAACTGATGTTTTCTGACACTTGAGTACGTTTCCTGAACCCACAGGGCACACCACCCCCCACTTATAGTTCGTGTTTAGGGAGCATAAAATTCTCAGAATTTCTCCATTTAAAATGCACACAGGACAGGTGGCTTCACCCTCCACTTCTCTGATGATGTCGGACACGTGGATCGAGCCGGCGGGGGAAAGCCGTGTGGCTGTTCTCGCGTGTTCGATCAGACCCCGCCGCCTCCCGGCGAAGGGCGGCCGCTCCTTCAGTGTCCCAGGGGCTCCGCCTCCCTTGCCAAGCCCTGCCGGCCCGAGCGGGGCACCAGGTGGACTCACCGGCCATTCTTGGTCACGATCATCTCGTTGGTGACTTCCTTGAACCTCTGCCAGAGCGGGGCGTCCTCCAGGATGACCTGCAGCTGCTGCTCCGTGGGGTCGCCCTTTTCCCTCCCTGCCTGAAGCTCGCTCTCCACCACGTTGAGCAGGCGAGACACGGTGCCATCGCTGGTCTTCTGCGCGCCCAGCCCACTCATGGCCACGGGCCCCTCGAACCTGGCCGGGAGACGGGGCGCACCTGGCCTCACTTGCCCGGGAGAGGACTGTGCCTGGGGAGCTGGAGAGAAGGCGCCTGGCTCTTGCTTAAGCTCCTAGCATGACACCCCTTAAAGTCTCCAAATTATGCCACCAACCTGTTAAGCTTTAGCTGGGGAGGGGGGTGGAGGGAGGGGAGGGGGGAGAAAAAGCCCTCTCTTAATTACTCACTGGATCAGGTGGGAGGGAGCCCGCTTCCCTATTGGCTGCTGTGCCCAGAGTAACCGCTTAAGAACAGTACTTCATCCAAATTATCAGGCTTTTATCTTGTTGTACCTGAAGAGGTCTAATCGGTGTATTGAGGACCATTTTGCCGTTAATTAAAATTGTTCCGGGCCCCGACTGCAACAATCAGGCAAATCATGTTTGTGTACAAATCGCGGCATGTGCCACCTCTAAGGAAGAGGTCCTGGGAAAATCGACAGACTTGGCGACGACACCAGCTCCCCTGACCCGGCCGAGGACCTAAATCCCTCAGCTCCCCGCCGGCCCGGGAGGAAGGGGCAGGCGCGGAGGCTGAGGCGCTGAGCCAAGGGAGGCCACCGCTGGACCGGCGGAGGAGAGCGCGTCGTGTGCCACACGCTCCAGGGGCAGAGATCGGGAAGGGGCGAAGGGCCCCTTCCTCTCGCGGTGTCCCCTGCTGGTCCCCTCTTCCCCGAGGCGCCCGACACACACCCACACCCTGCTCGCCTCCCACAAACAAGAGCTCTGAACCTGTCCCCCCGACCCCAGCCCCGTCAGGATCCAGAGCCCCAATTTTCCTCATCTCCACCCCTAGCCAGAGGGAGAGAAAAGTCACTTAGCCTCCTAGCCATCTCTCGAAGGAAGGACTCTGCCCCAGTGAGTAAAAACACGCCTTCCGCACGGTCGCACAGAGCGATCTGGATCCTTGGCCCGGAAAGGCTCCCCGGCTTTCCCTGCGGACGGCCGCTCGGGCCTCCGGGTGGAACCCCGTCTCCTGGGGAGACGCTGCTGGAAACGTCTCTTTAGCCGGCCACACCGCAGGCGCCCAGCGTTCCCTGGGGGTGAGGGCTCTTCTCTGGCTACAACAGGACATCAGGAGACCACACAGACGGACAACAGAGTCAGGCAGGGAAGACGCGGTCACCGTGAGGATGACACTGAACACGCACGGGTGCCCTCCAGGCGCGGAGCGCACGTGACGCACCGTCCTGCGGAGGGAGCAACGGCCGCCTCGCCCCGGAGCGGAACGGACGGTGGAGAGAAGCAGGCGACGGAAACGGCTGAGGGCTCTGCACGGGGCCAGGTCCCCGGAGGCCGTGGCTCACGGGACGTGGTGGGCAGACAGACGCGTGCACGGCTGGGGTGGAGCCGAGGTCGAGGCCGCTTCTCTGAGGAGCAGACAGCTCGTCTGAGACCAAAAAGGTGACGAGGACTCAGTCGGATTGGGGCTGGGGGCAGTTCCAGGCAGGGGAACCCCACGTGAGAAGCAGGGCCCGGGCCACTTACGGGGAGGCCAGCGGGGCCAGGACGTGGGGGAGGAGGGAGTCGCGTGAGAATGCCCCAGAAGGGCCTGATAAGCAACGGTGACGACCTGGATTTTATTCCACGTGACACGGGAGGACGCAGGAAAAAAGCACGATGTGCCTTGTGTTTTTAAAAACCTGGCTGATTCGTAGAGAACAGACTAGTAAAAGGCGAGAGCTGAAGGGACAAATGAGGAGGCTGTAATCGTGGTTCGGGCAAAAGGGGGTGGTGGCTTAGCCCGTGGTGGTGGCAGTGGCCGCGAAAATACGTGACTGGACTCTAGATACACCTCGGAAGACGACAGGACCGGAACAACACGAGGGACTCGGTGTGGGGATGAGCGGGAGCCAGGAGCCACGGGTCCGAGCTGAGTAACTAGGAGGTGGTGGGGCCGCTGACTGGGACGCGGAGGCCACGTGCCACCTGTTACAGCAGCAGAAGAAACTAACACGAAGACCCAGACATCTAAGAGGGGCTTTCCAAAGAGCGCCGCTCGGAACCGAGGCACGCGTGCGGCTCTGAGCTTCCCAGCGGCCAGTGCGCAGAGGGGAAACACGATCTGGCGTACGTCACGCTGTGCTCCCGAAACGGAAGCCAGCCATTTGCCTGGGGGAACGTGCCCCACACGTCTTTATAAGGAAAACACTGCGTGACACCGTGAACACTGGTTCTCTAAATACCAGGAGGATGAGGGGCCCCGTCTTTACAGAGATGAAAGCACAGGCTCAGGGAATTCTAATAGAGAGATACGTGAAGTGTTTTGGACGTAGCAACGAGGGAGAAGAGGAGGAAATAATACTGTTTTTTCTCATCAGTTATACCCAAAACAGTGATTTCCTGAAACCTCGGTGAGCACGTGAGTCTCTTCAGCCCGTGGACCCCGGAAAAACATGACTGGTGGAGAACAGTGCACGCAATGGCTTCGGGCAAACATGGCCAGAGATGGTTGCACCCTCGTGACCTGGGGCCCGCCTGTCTGAACAGCAGCTCCCCTCCGAGGCTGTCACCGCCGAGATCCGTATGCCACCAGGTGTTTCAGACTGGGCCACATGGATCTGCTGATACTCAACCTCTGCTCTCCGTGGGGGTCGGAGGGGGGGATTTCATATGATTCACCCTAATTGTTGGATTTGAATCTAATATAAAATGCTTCGACTAATACATCTATGTATCGTTTTCCTTGAATAACTGCTTTCTGGTTACTAAACATCTTACCGTAGACAATTTTGGAAAAACACGAGCAGGAAAAGCCGTGCGTGTTCTCAGCACCCAGAGAGATGACCTCTGCCAACAAGCTTAGCACAGACATTTTTTACCTACGAGTATATGCGTACTTTTTCCTTTAAGATGGGATTTGAAAATGGTTGTGACGGGGCCTGGCAGAGCGGACAGATGCTTTCATGGCTGCTCCCCACCAAGCCCTCTGACATGGCACCACAGCCCCACGCGATGTAATCCCACAAAGCAGCAGCCTGCAGAGGCAGAAACAGCAGCAGCAGAGTGTCCCGGACACGGGGGACACGGGAGGAACGCGAAGGAGAGCCCCGACATTGACGTGTGGACGTCATAAGGACAAACGTCCACAGCGGGCGAGGGTTTATGAAGCAACCAGAAACTGGGACCACGCGTGTCCATCAAACGCGGTGCATTTTCCTAACAGACGCAGAAGGAGGGGGGCACATCCCGGAGGAGGCGGAGCGCAAACTCGTGCATCTCCAAATGTCCTCACCAGCCAACACTGTTGTGACGAGTGTGAGCAGGGATCCCATCCGAAGCCTACATGCTCCCGCCTGTATGTGTGATTCGGAGCGGCACTACACACGTACCTCTGGAAAGGCATCAGGGACCACCTCCTGGGGCCGGACACCTCAAAACTCCTGGTTATGCAAAATCACAGGACCGTGTACAACCACGGGCACGGCCCACACGCTCACCGTGACCACGGGGCCCTCCTGGAATGCCCTCAGCGTCCTGACTCATGAGCCTGATCCACACGCACCTCCCGACTCTGTGCTGCGGCACAGGGGCAAAGCTCAGCTCCCCAGATATCTGAGAGTAGCACGAACTGGCCCCAAGACCAGCTGGAGACCCCAGCCTACATCCGCGCAGCTTGCCTGGCGAGCAGCCAGCCGGACTGAAGTGGGAGCCGGGGGGCTGAAGGATGTCACTTTGAAAAAGGGAGTGGATCAACTATCTAATGCCTATGACTTTATAAGAGGCATTTATGGTGTGGCAGACAGTCTGCAGTTGAATTAATAACAGCTACGTATTAGTTTTCTATCGCTGCCTAAGAAATCACCACCAATTTAGGGGCTTAAAACAACCTCCATTTCTGACCTCACAGCTTCTATGGGTCAGAAGTCCAGGCAGAGCACAGCTAGGCTCCCTGCCCTGGGTCTCACACACCTAGCTAAGGTGTCGGCTGGGTCTGGGACTTCATCTGAGGCTCAGAGTCCTTGTCCGACCTCATTCAGGGTGTTACCAGAATTATATTCTTTCTGGCTGCAGGACTGAGGCCCCTGGCTCCTGGCGGCCACCTGTCTCCAGTGCAAGACTTGGCTGTCTGCCTTCTCCCCCCAGGCCAGGAGGAGAGCATCCGCTGCTGCTTCTTTAAGGGCTCACCTGCTTAGGTCAGGCCCACCCAAGATGACCTTCCCTTTACTAACTCAGACTCACCTGATGAGGCATCTTAATAACATCTGCAAAGCTCTTTTTGCCCCATGACAGAACGTAACCACAGGAGTGATGTCCCTCATGCTCAGAGGTCCTGCCAACACTCAAGGGAAGGGGTGACACAGGGCACGTCCACCAGGGGACAGAAATCTTAGGAGCTGCTTCGAATTCTACGTACCGGAAAAGCAAGTGAGCGAGAAAACAAATGGATGTTTGGAACCTGGAGGGAAGTGGCAGAAGCGCCAGCAACGAGGGCAGGAGACAGGCCGCCTCTGCGGAGGCCACAGGAGGCGTGTTTCCCCTGCGCGTTTTTAACCAGGTGAACGCGACGCTAGCAACACTGCTTTCTAACCTGATTTTTTAAATCCAACCACTTATCATTTTCCCATGTTACTGAATAATGTTCCGCATTCTTTTAATGGTTTGTAAATTATTCCATCTTAAAAATGGGGGTCATGTTTAATTGAACCCATCTTCTTATATATTTACTGTTTGTTTTGTTGATTTAAACGAATCGATAAAAATGCTGGATCCATTAGATAAATATTTGCGAACAGCCGTGATTATTTTTTTCGCACCGTTCTGAGAAGTCGCGCTGAGAACGCGGATGCTCAGGGCTTCGTGCGCTCTCTCCCTTCATCCTGTAAGCTGAGCGCGAGGATCCTGTCTGTTTCTCAGGAGAGCATGTTGAAGCTCGGAACGCAGGTTAAGTAGCTGGTCCCCAGGCGCGGAGCCCGCGCGTGGGAGGCCGGGAACAGCCCTGGGTCCTGGGCAATAACTC